CCGCAGTCTGCTTTCATGTACGATCTACAAGGGAAACTTCAGCAAAAAGCGCCGGCCACGAACGGTGGCCTTCCTTACGAATTTCGTGCTCTCGAAGCTGTTCTACAGTCCGTAACACAGGAGTTAGAAGCCGATTTCGAGGCCGTGCGAGACCCCGTCATTCGCATTCTCGGCGAGCTAGAGGACGATATCGACCGTCATAAACTGCGTGTTCTCCTCATCCTTTCAAAGCGAGTCAGCACTTTCGAACAGAAGGCGAAGCTTGTCCGCGACGCTATTGACGAACTACTTGAAGCCGACGACGACTTAGTAGCCATGTACCTGACCGAGAAGACCCACGATATTCACCGACAACTTGACGACCACACCGAAGTAGAGATGTTGTTGGAATCCTACTATAAACTATGTGACGAAATCGTCCAGGAAGCGCAGAACTTGGTGTCCTCTATCCGCAACACTGAGGAAATGTAAGAGGTTTATCGACCCCTCTGACCAAGATCTCACTGACCCGTGCCTCTTAGCATTCGCGCCATTCTAGACGCCAATCGCAACTCTCTGATGCTGCTTGATCTCAAGTTCAGTGTCGGGACACTAGGTTTGGCCATGGGCACATTCATAGCCGGTTTGTACGGTGCCAACCTAGAGAATTTCATCGAGGAGACAAGCTGGGGATTCGGTGCAGTCACCGTCGTCTCCATCATAATGTCCCTCCTAGTATGCAGATACGGCCTCGGAAAGCTGCGAAACCTGCAGCGCATCAAGATGCAGGGCGACGCGCCGCCAGGCCGGGACAGGGACTACCACTGGTTCCACGACGACGGCCATGTGGGACTACTAGACCCCCGTAACCGGGAGAAGTTGCGGCGCCTACAGATGAGTAAGGCCGACGATAAGAAGGCTCCCAAGAAGAGCTGGTGGTGAGCGCCCCGGCTTGGCCCCTAGTATAATATGATGTATAGATGTGCTTGGAAAGGGAGGTCGATGTTCCACGGGATCTTGTAGATATACATATCAGAATTGGCGTTTGGGCGGCAGAGGACCTTTGTAGACTACCTACTGTAAAAAAGGCCGTGTGTGCCTTGGCGAGTAATATTCCCACCTCTAAGCGTTATTTTGGGAAGACGAGAAGTCATAGTGTATATACCCATTATAGAGCTGGACATCCCATTCACAACTTGCTGTACTTCTTTCGGTTCTTGTCTCTAGGTGGTATCGTGTTTTTTTAATCTGCTATAATCCTGTTTTTCATTGGTACCAGAAGGTTTTTAATTGATCTTCACGGACCAGACCATGTCAAGGGAGACTCGGGACTGGTTCTAATGCTGACTTTCAACGCCGTGATAACTGACGGTGTTCGGACCAAGTATCCGCTGCTATTCCGTTGCAGTAGCACGGGAGCAGAATGACATGTTGCTGTTTTGACCATTGATACTCTCTGATATACAAGATGCCAAGCGGTCTCGCGTCACGCAAAGTAAGTTTTGGAGATTTTTTTAGTCAAACAGTTCTTAGATGATATCATATCAAATTGGACCAAAATTGGATTTTAGATATTGGACTCCTGTATATAAGTAATTGGTATTCGACACACTGATAAACAAAGAGGTACTTTAGCATATTCAGGAAAGATCTCGCGTGTATATAGTTCTAAGCTCTTTGCGCAAGAGTACCTGTTTATCACGTACCCAAGCCCGACAGTATGAACCAACACCTACAGTACTATGTACGCATACATGTGTCGGGTATGTTCGTCTTCCTACTGTATCCTTGTGCTCGTGGATGGTCAGAGACTCTCATATCTCTCTATTGAGTGGTATTATGTGTATCAAGACAAGGCCGATATCTGCTTTGTAATCGGGGCTAGCCTATAAGACCGGTTTATCAGCGAGAGAGAATTTTGTTATGAGTGCCACACGCGTAGTACGCGCTGAAGCGCGAGTCTCGGGGTTCGGTGGTCTGTTAACGCGCGCTCCCGTAATAATATTGACCATGTCTTGCATAAGGGTATTCAGCCCTTGCTTATCTGAGGGCTCTGAATCTCTAGCCCTCCTATCCAGCCAGGCGGGCGAACTCCAGGTTATATATGCGAATAGCTTCACCTAAGCCAACCGCCCGGCTCCCCCCGCCCCCGCGCCTCCGCGCCCTCGTATCGCCGCCTCGGATATATCAGAACATATACGGGAGGAGACGGGAGGCAACCGGAGGCCTTCGCTATCCATAGGCTCTGTCACCCGATCATATGATTATTTACAGGATCACGAATATGCATACGGATATGCAGTTTGCCAGACCTGGGGGCTGCTCTAGCTGTTGACCTGGGTCAGTTTGGTCCCAGTCCCTTATGTCCGTGTGGCATACTAGGTAACTTATTACAAAGCACTTATAGAAATAGGTAGGAACCGCAGATACCCAGCAGTAACTGGGTGCACTTCTTTAAGTAACTCTTAAAGTTAAGATTTTCGCGAGTTTGTTAAAGTACTGGCCACGTAGACTTCATCGAGCTTTTATCTTCGCCATTATAAATGCCATGTTTTCTGACGTGCCTTTTCGTTCGCCCTTATTTTCATGACCTATTAGAAAAGCAGTATTTCCACGCAAACTCCCATACAAGATCGCAAGTTATATCCTTTTTTTTTCTTAAAAAACAGTAAGTAATACTCACTAAGCCTATCAACTACTCGCTAAGTAGTCATCGTTTAGACTTTAAAAAGCAAACACTGAAGTTGTCATGACTTCTACCGCCGCCGATAAGCCGAAAATAGAGTGGTCCTTTTGGAGTGGCCAAGTAGTCAACAACCAGCTGAACCCCATCCATCTCGCCCTCGGAATCCGCGGCTACCAGATCCAGTCGGAGTTTTACATATTCCCAAACGATGGGGCATTTTCTCGCCCGGCCCGCCTCGTCTCCAGGTCTACGAAGGTCACGCTTTTGTTAATGCCTGCGGCCTAATAGTTTTTATAGCTACCTGGAGTACATTTACCAATTTTATTATTTTTGAATTTGGCATGTTGAACCTCACAATGGTTGTGATTTCTTTGTTTGGGGGGTTATTATAGTGGCAGCTATGAGTTATGCTTTGCTGTGTTTCCCTCCTCAACGCAAACAAGGATATGTATGGGACGACTGGGAAACGAGACAGGAATAATGGCAATAAGGTTTCAAACACCCTTTCAGTAATTACCTTGCTTGTTACAGAGTGGTAATCATCTCAGGGTAATGTAGGATTCTCCTGATAGATCATGACGTTCCCCCGAAATAAAGATACAAGGTTGATTTATGTGATGAGTATACGTTATAGCATCCTGACAATCACAACACATGGTACTCTCCATGTTTCCTACGGTGAAATGGTAGGTATATGAGCGTTGCATTCAGAATAATTACTTCATGGCAAGGTGGGAAGGCCTCTCTATATACATGAACGGTCACTAGAACCCTACATAACCCTAAGTCATGTACAGTACATAGAATGAGTCCTTGACCTGACTCACTTTCAGGCTTATTGAATATTATATGTATAAGGAAACAGTGTAAAGTATTGCGGTGTAAGGCTCCGAGACTCCGTTTTATATGCGATTGCCAGGCACGAGAACTTTCTAACTGCTTCATAACATTCGGCTTAGCGCCCCCATCCGTGCTGGTGACTGCGGTAGTTGGGTCTTCAACAAGGCGTCATACATCTCGTTGGCTTTGTAGTAGCTGGCAGCCCAAAGACTAGATCGAGCTTAGGCAGTCCTGCTCGAGTTGCGCTCGAGAAAATTATAGCGCTTCTGGATAGATTACCACAGCCAGGAACGAAAGCAATAGGTGACACTCCTAGGTTCCTGCCCATGGTGACAAATGGTCGGTTATCTTACGGCACCCGGGACACAGCAGACTCGGAGACCCCTATCCAAATTAGTATTCAGGCGATTCTTGACAAAGGCTTATTTCTATCTGAACGAGAGTGGAAATACTATCGTCGCAACTATTTCTCCTGCGTCTGTTCATACAACTTAACGCCTACTAACTGCACTTTACCTATAATATATACGCCCGACGGAGAAATCCACGGCGTATCAGGTTGTCCGTTTTGCAATGTCTATTTCGGCTGTGATATCTCATCCAGATGCTCATTCTGTCGGTATAGTACAACACGTGTCAAAGGAAAACAAGAGACCGCCAGCTAGTCCAGCTAAGATACGACTTGGTCCCAAATCGCTTCAGAGACCTCCGGTTCTGCCTGGATGGACCGCAGGACCTTCGGTGCCTGGGGGCCGAAGTCCAATGGATAGTGAAGGGCATATCCAGAGTGGCCAGGGGCCAAATGTAACGGAGCATAATTATATTTGAAAGGATTTAGTTCAAACGGGCGATGGCTAACAACGACAAACATCGAGCAAGTCGGGAATACCTTCATCTAGTCGTAGAGCTTTATGCCGATGTAGGCACGGATAAGCCGGGCCAACAGTTTATCAAGATTCCTTCCCGAAAATCCGAAAGGCTGATAGTGCGAAGTCGTTCCCCGGGCCATTACCAAACGGAACAACGCAGACACGTCAGTCAAACACCTGGAGGTTTCAGTGAAACGATACTGAAGGGTAATATCACAAACGTTGAAGCCCCTTATGCTAGTTCCAAAGAAACCTCGGGCGACCACGGAATGTTCCCTGAATCGAGCAGGTCTAGGGGAATACCGAGACCGGGAGATTTTCCCCCACGCCGTTAGGACATCAATGGGAGGGGATAATATGGTTCTTCAGAGCTAGTAAGGGTATGTCAGTGATTGAACTTCGGCAATAGATTTTCAGCCATATCGTATGTTGAGAGAAACGTGTCGTACACTAGTCACATGACCCCTAAGAATAACTGATCGAGGCGTTTAAATTTGACTCTATTAAGTTTTAGCTTACATGTCACCCGGTACCGCATTCTTTTACACTACCCTCCCGAGGACCTACGAAAGCATAATTTCCATTCACTCCTTATAAGATATAACTAGCTATCAAGCGTATAGCAACCCAAGGTGGTGCAGTGGCAGCACGCCCAATCGGTTGCGCGGTCGGTTAGGCCGTTACTGTGCGGGAAGGGGGGAAGGGAAGTTGGGAAACCCGGGTTCGATTCCCGACTTTGGGGACTCTTTTTGCCGAATTCCTTGTTCAATTAATCAATTTAATTTCTCTCTTACACTGGCACGAATATATAAAAGACGATTAGTCAAGTGCCTGCCTTCACAAAGCTAGTGGACACATCACTGCTTACGTCACGATAGGGGCAAAGGGGGTGAAGGTAGCATTTGTACCTATATCTGTGAACAATGGACGAGGATATGCTTCGTTCGAGTGTGGAAGTCACAGCAGAGACCGAACTAAGCAGGACAAATCATAATAGACATCCCATGGTTGGGCCTAGACATCACCTATACGGATTAAATATAATAAAAACATGCATTTAGCTATATCACCATGTTATAAACCGGCTGTAATAGCAATCCTGGCGCTCTACGCCGCAGGCCCGAATGAGCATGTCCAGCAGTAATATTAAAATACAACAGCAACAAAAACGTCATAAGATAATGAACGGATAAGAAGTCCATAAGGCCCTTACGTTGGACGTCTATTTCTCCCTCCCGTATTTTCTGTCATTCGTTTCTCTCTATTCTGCTGTTTCCTCGCTTGGATTTTGTTTCCATTGATCATAGGGATTCAGAGATCCGGCGGAGTTTATATTCCAGAGTTGGTCTTGTTTAGGTTACGTAAAGGTGTACCACCCTGTGGGTCATAGATGGTATAGGAGGTTACACTTTTAGATCTCAAAACCTCCAGCCCTAGAGGCTTGCATACCAACTCATCCACATTTGTATGCAACACTTGTGAGAGATTTCTCGCTGTTGGCTAGAGAAGTTCTATTCGAGATTATCAAGTAGCATCACAGGTTCCCATTCAGTGACTCATCATATGTGTACGTATGCATCTCAGATTTACTGTGACTGGCATCGACATGACCTTTGGACTAACAGTACCGGGTGACTAGTGAGAGTCAGGTAGATTCCATGTCTTACGAATTCTATGATCTGTGATATCGGATTTCCGCAAAAAACCCTCACGTACTATAATATGATGTTGGCAACTAGTTTGGCCATCGCCGCGAGTAACACCGAGCAAGTGATCACGACTGTAATCAAACTTGCAAAGCTTGTGCTGTGACTCACAGATTTAGTGTTGGTTGCTCTTGAGGTGGCAACAATAAGAATCTCTACACTACTTAGCCTTATAGTATTAACTCAGCCTTCACCATGGTACCTTATACTCGAACTTAAGTTAATGACTCAGCTAACATCCCAACCAGTTCACTCTTTGTATGAAGTTGTGAGACCCATATCCATCTGACTGCATGACGGTGACGACGAATTACAAGTTAACTTATCGACTTGTTAAACAAACGGACAGTGTGGTATCCGGAATCCGGGCATAGGCTGCGAGAGTATTCGTAAGATCCTAAGAGTACCGATAGTCCGTTTCATACTACATACAGCCCTCTTTTACGTCGTGCGTTTTTTCGCTTGTGGAACAGGGGGGTCTGCAGCTGGGTAGGGTGAGATCTATTACTTGGTCGAGTAGAACACGGGACGCGTAGGCAGCGAGGTCCACGATAGTGAGAGTCATATTGTCATGGTCCTAATACCCCTAAGGAATCATTTTGTCCAACGTTCCTCAACCGTAGATAGCCGGACCCTGCTTGGGCCGGGTCTCGGAGTAGTCATGCCGCCTCGTGACGCTCGAGTTTTCCAGGAGTCCGACACGAGCGGCAAAGGGATGGGATGACACACATCGTGACTTGAAATCCTCCGAGCAAAAGAAAACTCAAAAGCCAATTGTTGTTGTTAGGTGGCTTTCGCTGAGCGGAGAGGGGTGGCCTGGACGATGTTCACGTGCCACGGTGGCTCCGCCATCTCCACCGCCGCGATCCGGGGTTCCTTGCGAAACACCTCGCTGGCCTTCCTTTGCCTAACTGGCTATGACGTAGCATCAACGAGGAGATTCTGCGAGGTAAGTGATAACAGTTAAGCGCCGAGGCTTCGATCACACACCCAGTATTCACGGGTTGTCATTGGCGTTCGCACTTCTAGGTTGGGAGCATGAGATAGCCCCGTCTGCAAGGGGCGTAGAGTGGACAAGCCCCTGCTTAGTACTACTAACAGCCCTAGAGGGAAGACTCACGACACCGGAATCCAATAAACACCCGAAGATCATGGTTTGTCGCGCCTCTTCGCTGTTCTGTTGGGGGTTGGGAACCTTCCAGGCAGGCTAGCTGCAACTGAGCCGGGCGGCTGACTCTTCTCCCTACCTAGAAGGCTGAAAGGGTTGTGTTGTGTTCTCCTTGTGATTAGCCCTTGATTCGAAAACGTACTAGGGCCGAGACGGAGGCGATAACACATTTGGAAACAAGGAATATGTACGGCATGACGGGCTAGACCTAGATTAAACATCCGTGATTCGGCGACCTGTTACGAGGCAGAGGCTGCCTATCTAACTCTACATCTAGTGTCTCGGAGCTATCAAGGCCTACTTCGCCGTGTACCATGGAGTATCAATTTATACTCTGAAACTCTGAAACGAGGTTACGGGTTGCCAGTAGTTGAGGGTGTTGGTATATTAAGACGATTGCTCAGATGCCATGTGCCGGCCGGACCTTATGGCGCAACCGTTGTTGAGTGGGTGTGGTTGGGGTCTTAAAATATTGTTGCCTAGCCCGCTAGTCTTCAAGTCGCGGGTGTGCGGCGTGCATACTCGAATAAAACTCAAAGCAGCTAACATCGACAAAAGGAAAATTAAGACAAAATACACTTCGAACATGGTCTTCTTTTCACTAGAAGGCAAGGATGTTTTTTTAACTGAATGGATGACGCCAGCTGATAGGTCGCCGTATCTCTTGTTCTTAAACTTGGTTTGTAGGTTTGATCTCACACGAGGGACCCTGACGGTCGTTCATTCGGCCCAAGGACAATACCAATGATTTAACCTCACTGTAACAGCCTCGGCGACCAACCGGCGCTGATGAAGCGGAGGGGCCTTTGGGGGCCTTCCACGAAATATAGACAACAGTAATAGTGATGATATAGAATCGCAAAGAGCCGAACTGGGTGATCCTGGTGCGGGGTTCGTTTTCCTGTGATCGATGTCTTACATGATTGCGAACACGGGAAGTCTACACGGGGAAGTGGTGCGTCGCCAATCACGACGAAGATGATCATGATCATTTCCGGGATGGATGGCCGCATACACGCTAATATACTTTCTAGGTTAGGTGGGCATGTAAGTAATTGTGCAGGACCCCATGATAGGATTTGCAGAGGATTTACTTAGAGTGAGGAAGGAGTTCGTTCACTTTTACGGCCGACCGTGGAACACTTCTAGAACAAATGCTATATTCTTGTAATCATATTAAGACAACAGTCTACGGCAGACTCGGTGAATCCAGACCTCGTCATTTCTTAGGTTTTGATATACATGATATGATGCGATGAGTTGGTAGTCAGGACATCCATGATATCAAGAGTCAAATAGATATACGCCTGTCTCTGGCCTCATATGCTGGCGTATGCGCACGCCTCGGTTTGCCCTTGTCCCACGGCTTGTTCAGCTGTTTTCGGGTAAGCACATACGGATCATGAAAGGGGCGAAGAGGCAAAAATATTCCTATTTGTACACAATAAAGATATGCAAGACGCACGCTTTGAGTTCTGGGCAATAGTGGGCAACACGGTGGTTTTGCAGCTGTATAATCTTCAGAGTCTTGTAACTCACATGATCGCAAGTGTCTAGATTATGGCTATACCTGTTTACGAGTAGACGTGGCGACAAATGACCGTCGTTTACTAAGACCAGAGAGCACTGGGTTTATGAAATCGCGACCAAATTATGCGGTCTCCGTCCGCTGTCGTGGTCGTTTGCTTATTGTAATTGTACTGTAGGAATCTAATTGAAATTCACGGGTCGCGACGGCCCCGACGTTGCCGAGTAACGCCTAATTGCTTGGTAATTGATACGCTTTAATTCGGCGTTTTCAGCTGTCCTACAGGGTTGGATATGACGCATTCGGAGCCTGGCCCCCTCATCAACAGGAGCCCTCAAGTGCTCGGGAACAACACCAGCCGGCGCCAGTTAGTTACCTAAGGTTAGTAGGCTGCCTTCGGGTTTTAGGTGAGGAATGACGATGTGGGTTGATAGGTTAGTTGGTAACTTGAGACAATGCCGAGGGTCACGGAATCTCGCTCAAGTATGATTGACAGGGCATTACGAAGTACATTGCGACGCGCAATTTCAGGTACCGCATGATGGCAGTGCTCGCTGTTCACCCCGCAAAACACGAACAAGTGGCTGAGTCCGCGTCGAGGTATAAGCGCGCGGTGAGAGCGAATGCGGCCGTCCCGCATCTGTAACCGGATCATCAACAACTGATCTGTGAAACATTCGACATTGCGTAGTTCGTGTCCATGGTACGGTACTGAGTCTATAATTTAGAGTAGATAGCAGCAACGTAGATGTGGCGTGGGGTGTTTGTCTACACGACTTGGAATGGCACCTCGCTGGTCTACAGAGCAAGTGATTGGCTGGGCCCAAGCTGAATGTCTCGGACTCGCCACCTTGTCACGGCATCGATGGACGGCATCTCTCATGATCATTCCAACCTTTGTCCATCATCTGTTGTCATAAAATCCCAAATCATTTGCTACACCAACCTAACTTGCTTAGTGTAGAGCCGGTGGCCACGATAGGCTACGCTACCCACGATGGTATGGCAATGCGGACACGACACGCAATTGTCATTTGGCCATTTATTACTCATGCTGATGTGACGGCGACAATTCTCATTGGCCGAGGGGTTAAGTCGTTGAATACAGTAAAGCGTTCAGGTGTTGCCTTGGCGGTATGTAATTTACGCACACTTATGCATCGGTCGGCCTGGCAGATGGTATCCTACCTAGTTCGCCGACCGCTTCTCGAAGCAGTGTGTTCTTGAAATGACGCCAAATAAATGGCTTGCAACATCTAAAGATGGTGGCTTCCTAGCAAATATGCTTCTACGTGGAGATGTTTTTCTTTCGGGTCGACGAAAGTCATATTCAATATGAA